CTAATACACACCGCTAACACTCACAGCTAACACACACTGCTAAAACACAGAATAACACACACGCTAACACACATCGCTAACACTCACAGCTAACACACATAATAACACACACGCTAACACTCACAGCTAACACACACGCTAACACACACCGCTAACACTCACAGCTAACACACAGAATAACACACACTGCTAACGGAGTTGATGTTTCCACACGTTTGAACCGACTGAGCATGCTCAGGGAGGTCAACCTCAGGATGAGGTCATGTGTCTGTACCTGCGTCCTGGCTGCCGTCTGTGAGCGGGTTCGGTTTGTTGGTGCTGGAGTGACGCCTCCTCCTCCCTGAGATCAGCACGCTCCTGTAGACCTGAAACACGAACACAGAACATCGGAGAACATCAGCAGCAGCTCGTCACCCCTCGTTTTTCCTCACACAGCAAGCTGGAGGGAGGAAGAGTTCCTTACATTGCTGCTGGCCTGAGGCTGAGAGCGGTAACACTTCATGATGTTCTGGAAGGATCTGTCCTCTTTGGTCACCTGACAGAAGCAAACAGGTCACATGTTACTGGAGCACAGAGCTCACAGAGACGTTCCTCCTGCAGCACCAAGTCAAAGACGAGCAGAAAAGCTGAAAACAAGCGTGCTCAGCTTCCTGTTACCAGAGAGTCAAGAGTTGAGTGACAGTAAAGCTGGAGGCAGAGAGTTAACCCTTCAAAGCTCCTGCAGGTCAAGGTGGGATACCTCTGGCCTTTCTGAACTGAACCTGCTCTTCTTCTTTGTGAGTCTCAGAACATCTCTGAGCTCGTTGTCACGACGATGAAGAACCTGACTGACCTTGGCCATGACGTAGACGGCACACATGAGGAGCTGGTCCAGGTGTCGGTCCATCATCATGTCCGTGCAGTGGACCAGCGAGTACTCGAAGCAGGTCCAGATCTTCCTCCGGAGCTCCGGCATGATGTCCAGCCGGGCGCACAGGTCTCGGAGGCGGACGCTGGCGAGGTGGTACACCTGGGAGGAAACGCTGCAGGTAAACGAATCACACCTACACAGCGGAAGCAGAGCCGCACTGAGCATGTGCACGAGCATGTACCTTCCTGAAGAACAGTGACAGCGAGCCCTTCCTCAGCGCGCCGCCGGCCGGTTTAGGGGCCGGCTTGACAGTGGCTGGTTGCACGGCGATGGTGCCGGCGAGCGCCTGCGGGGGCAGCGGCTGCAGAGCGGCACCAGCCTGTCCTGTCACGCTCACCTGCACCGGGATGAAGGTAATCCCTCCGCTCTCATTGGCTATCCCTGCAGAGAGGTCAAAGGTCAGAGGGTGCCGTTTCTCACCTTCACCTTCAGGCTCGTGTTTTCTGATCCTCACCCTGCACCGGGATGGTCACTGTCTGCCCGTTGTTGGCGGTCACGGTGGCAGTTGCCATAGTGACCACAGTCTGTCCCGCCGGGATGGCCGTGACGAGGCTCGCCTGGGTGGGCTTGACGACAGCAGTGCTGGCGGAGCCACTGGAGGCGAGGCCGGGCTCGCTGTCCACGGGGTCAACAAAGAGACGGCGGCGAGCCGTGCTGGCCGGCGGTGAGCTGTAACGGTCCAACAGGGTGGTTGGGGAGGGGGACACACCTGTAGGAGGAAGAGGAGGGCCAATGAGCTCCAAGAGTCCTTTAGCCGCATCAGAAGTCACACACACACACACAGTGTGCAGGTGTGACAGGTATCAGGTGTGTGACCTTTGAGCGTGCTGCTGCTGCTGAGCTCGGCGCCGTGGCTGACCGGAGTGACGGGAACGCTGCCGGAGCTGCTCTCATCCTGCTGCTCCAGGTACTGAGGAGGCATCACCTGAAACACACACACCTGCTGATGAAACACACCTGAAACTTTGTTCAGCCAAACAAGAAGAGGAGAAGCGAGGACGAGACTTTCACGCAGCAGGCGGGACGTTTTTACGGATCAACAGGACCGGAATCAGCTGATCACAGCGAGGCCTCCTGCAGGTGTTATTCACCCAGAGTCAGAAACCACCAAACATGAAGGTCTGCAGTTACATTTGACCTCAGGACACACGAACAAACAAGCACAAAGAAGGAAACACCGACACGTATATCATCAAACATGGACGGACCTCCTGGCAGCTGGGGGCGTGGTCTTTGGCCCCACGGAGGCTCTCCCACAGCGGGGAATCGCCAGTCCAGGCCAGACTCTCCAGGACCTGCTCCTCCACCTGGTTCAGGTGCTTCACCACCTCCCGAAACAGACCCTGCTCCGCCCGCACCAGCACCTCAATCACCTGCAGAGACAGACGACAAGCTTTCTTCATCCAACTATTCATCCATCATCCATCTAAACATCATCCATCATCCATCTAAACATCATCCATCATCCATCTAAACATCATCCATCATCCATCCAATCATCTGGCGTTTTCTGAAAAACAAACCTTGTTAGGACCTACTTTTTGATGAGGGCGTATTGATACCTTGTAGAAGTGATAGGCAGGCAGCTGGAAGATGCCGAGCACGTTGGGGAAATCTCCAGGAGGTCTGTAGGAGAAGATGACGATCTCCAAGCAGCAGGCGAGCAGAGAGCGGTGGAAGATATCCTGCTCCAGAATACACTGCAACACACACACACACACACACACACACACACACACACACACACACACACACACACACACTTTATAAGATGACTTTATCAGTACACGGCTGCATGTGAGATAATCTGAGAAAAACATTCAAACAGGAAGCAGATGAAGCAGTGATGGAGGCTGACATAAAGAAGGATTATTCTGATCTGTGACTCATGCAAAGTTGCTCTGAAAATGGAAATAAGTGTTTTCCCTCACAGACAGGTCGGCGCCGCCCAGAATCATCTTCTCTCTCTCGATGACTGACTCCAGGATCCTGTAGTAGAGCGCCTCTGCCAGGTGGAAGTACTTCACCGCCATGTCTGCGAGGACAAATGTTACTCGGTCACAGCAGGTCGCTCGTGTGCAGTGATGCAAGGCTACGTGCATACCTTTGCCCATGGCCCTGCCCCCGTCTGTGGCGCCGTCCTCGTAGTGCTGGGAGAAGACGTCGAACATGTCGTTCAGGCGCCGGCTGATGGCGTTGCTCGGGTCTCTGGCGCAGCTCCTGGGCGAAACGAGAGCAGGCGTGTTGAAAGGGTCAGAGTTAAAGACGACGTCAGACACGCTGACACGTACCTGAGCGTCTCGGCCAGCTTGGCGCTCGGCCCCTGCTTGGTGCCCGACAGCAGCGTGTGGAGACGCCCCACGCTCTTCATGGCGGAGGAGAGCGGAGACGCCAGGCTGCCCTCCTGCACGTACTTCCTGCCCGTCAGTGGGGTGGAGACTTTCAGAGCCGAGGCCTGGGGGGGAGGTGGCATGTTAGCGAGGTGGGAAGCAAACCAATCAGAGAGCGTAAAAGAGGCAAGGTCAGGTCTTACAGCGAGGCTGGTGTGGAGCCTGAAGGTGGCGCTGTTCTGGTGCTCCGCCCCCTCGCACAGGCAGGGCCCCGGGGTGCCAATGTCCTCGCTCGCTCCCTCGCCGGTGAAGATCCTCTCGTCCAGGCTGCCTGTGGCCAAAACGTGCTCCTCGTACAGGCGGCTGAGCGCCAAACTGAGGGCGAATCAGAGCAGAGGGCGGTCAGCGGCGTCTACGTGCTGTTACCATGACCCGTCACCAGGGGGCGGAGTCAGAAACACGTGGGTCTTTAGTTTACCCCCTGCTACAGGTAAACAGCTCCAATTAACCAACACAGAACGGCCTTCAAACTTACAGACTGTCTCCAAAGTTCATGGGGTCCAGGAAGCCGGTCAGACTGTCCTCCTTTCCTCGGAGAATCTGCCAACGGACACGAGAGGAAGCTGAGTGTAGCGCCAACACGGTTCCTACCTGTGCAGGTACGAAGCTGCTCTATGTGACCAAACCCACCAATATTATTATTCATTTACATTTAATCGTATAAAACTTTAAATGATTTCTGATGTTTGATGTGATTATTATTTATCAGCAGAGCTCTGCAGAGCAGACAAACAGCCAACATGTTAAAGACGCGCTCGCTTTACTGCACTCTGCATCCCTGACGTGTTCAACACCGGGGCTCACACTCAGTCTCAGTTCTCAGTCCCAAGCTGCTCCGACTGTGCTGTGGGCCGGACCATAGTCTTTGCAGGGCTGATTCTGGCCCCCGGGCCTTATGTTTGACCCCTCTGCTTTAACCCAGATCACTAACATGCACTTTTCCAACACCCTCACTAACGCCGCGTGTGAAACACACGCCCGTCATTCTGCTTTTACCCCGTGGAGGGGCTCCAAACCAACAGTGGAAACCTCGCCGAGGCTCTCGAGGCCCGGCACCCGCTCAGGTATGTTCACCTGAGTGAAGGTGTGGGAGGAGGTGGCTCACCCTCTTGTGGAAGAGCTTCTTGATGAAGGGTTTCCAGAAGTGCTCTTTGACCCCTTTGGCCTCCAGGACCAGGCCGTCGTGCAGCCGGCACAGCTGCTCCATGAAGCAGAACGGGCCCGAGGCCGGCCGGAAGTCCTTGGTGCCGAAGTCCTCAGGAAGCCCTGTGGGACGGAGAGACAGCGTTACCATGGAGACATGACAACACACAAATTCTGTTTTAACGATAACATCATTTAAACTTTCATTCCTCGTGTGTTAACCCCACAGCGGCCCCAGGAGGCTCCACCTCCTCAGTCGCGCTGATGATATTGTTCAGCTCTAATCCTGGTTCTACTGCAGCTGATTCAATCCCAGGATAATGAAATCCTGATCGCTGGTCTGTTGGTTCAGCCAGCACGACCTTCTTCCTGTTTAACAGGCAGGTATTTAACCCAAACCTTCAGGAGCGTCTCGTCTCACCTGAGCGGGCTGAACCGCGCCCTCCCGCCTCTAAACGTGCACCTTTCTTTAAATGTTAGTTTCATGCCGAAACGCTGCTCGTGGGCGGAGTGTTCAATGAAGCAGGCGAGCTCCCCGAGTCTGACCTCGCTCGGCTCCAGGGTTGTGCCTGACGGGATCACGTGGTGTTTTGGGGCCTCACGGAGGCGCACAGGAAACCCGACAGGAAGTGAGGGCAGCGCTGACAGAGCCTGCTGCCGGCTCCACCTTTGATTTATTTGAGGTGTGACCCAATGCTGCAGGTGAGCGATAAGCAGGCTTCCTCTGCAGCCGACATGATTTATTCAAAGAACTGGAGACGTTACTACAGCAACCAAACTAAACCGAGCGCGAACAGCACGTTAACAGAGGCAGGAACGATGTGTACGTCAGCCTCAGGACGCCACCTTTGAACTCGGGGTTCAGCAGGTCCTTCCTGGCGTTGCACAGCAGGGCGTTGGTGAAGACGAGGTCGAGGGCGCACAGCAGCAGGTGGTACGAGTTCACCAGGTCGTCGCTGATCATGGGGAAGTTCCCTGAAAGAAGAAGCAGAAACATCATCGAGGTGCAAACCGGACTCATCAGCGTGCATGAGCAGAACCAGAGCCGAGAGCAGGAAGTGAGCCGCACGCCGAGAGCTGGCGTTCCAGCTGAGTGACTGCTGGGACGAGATTGAAGCTTCACAGTTCTGATTATTTATTATCCCATTTCTGCAGCTCCCAACAATAACGCAGAGAAACACCACACACGTGAGCGACAGTGGGGAGGAAAAACCTCCACCTGTCTGTGACGAGCTGTGGTTTGGCACTGTGACGGACTTCTCTGACATCATTAAACAGGAAGTGCTTACCTTTGGCGTGGACAAACAGCACCCAGCAGAAGTTGAAGACCTCGGTCACGGTGCACGGGTGGCGTCTGCAAAACAAAGAGCGCACATAGGTTACCAGGCAGCACTGCAGACCCGCCCCCGCCTGGCGACCACACCAACAAACACCAAAGAACTGAATACTGAGCGGTTAGCATGAAGGTGAGGTCAGAGGTCACAGTCCCACCTCTGCTTGCGGCTGCGGTGCACTCGCGGCGGCTCCTCTGACGGCGCCCTGAAGATGGATTTGAAGATGGGGACGTACTTCTTGAAGATGACGGCGGACACGATGAAGTTCCTCTCCAGCTTGTCGGTGCTCTGACGGAAGTCCGGCGGCAGGTCGGCCATGTCCTGCCACTTCTTCATCTTACTGAAGAACTCGATGAGGCTGAGGAGGAGCAGAGGGCGGGGACATGAGGAGCGAGCCGAGCCACGAAGATGACGTAATAAAAACCTTGTGGTCGCCTCTAAACCCTTCACAGAGCGCACATCCATTTTATTCTATTTTTATTTATTCATCATTTTAAATATTTTGTAGCTGATATATTTAGTTTTCCTGCTCGTTTCCAGCTGTTTGTGTGTCTGAGTGGTTCTCGCGTTCCCTCGCGTTCATAGTCTTTTGTCTATTTCCTGTTTTATTTTGAAGGTCTGCCTCTGTTACTGTGCCTGCTGGCCCCGCCCTGATTCTCTTCACCTGGGTTACCTGCGTGTGTCGTTATGTCATCAGTGATTGTGTTTCTGTGGGTGTGAAGGTGGAGAGGGGCACACCGACCTCATCTCGGAGCAGCGCAGGATTCGGGTCAGAGAGACGTAGTTCCCCTCGGCCGTGCCTTTTCCTACCGTGGGCACAGACGACCTGCAGGCCACGTAGAGGGCGCACGCCAACCAGTGCAGCTCGCTGCCCTGCGACAGGAAACAAGATGACAGGAAGCTTTGCAGACGTTAATGAATAAATATAATTTTTATTTAAAAGGACGAAGGACGCATCGAGGGACGGACAGCACTCTCATCTCCTTCCCTCTCGTTTCCTTCGGTAGTGAACACTTGCTCCCTGAGCAGAGAGCTCAGGCTGTGACGTCGCTCTGTGCCGAGGCTGACCTCCATGATCTGGACCTGAGCTTTTCTAAAACAACTCAGGAACCTGAACCTGAGTTTGAACCCATCCTAAGCAGATCTAATGTAAGAATACAAAATAAGGTTTGACTCCACACAGCCTCCTGTGACTAAAAACACCTATAAATAACTTCAGGTGTACTCCGCCCCTCAGCCTGTGACGACAAACCCCGACCCTCAGGCGTTCCTGGGTATTTAATGGTCACACTCAGTGTACTTAGAGCCATCATGAAGTAAAATAAACCGCCATACTGCTCAGATCCAAGTACTCACAGTACTTAAAGTACTTGTTATGCTGACATTAGTGTAGCACAGTTCTTTATTATTACTGTGTTTAATACCTCGGACTGCTGGGCGGAGCAACATAAACACCACCTTCACCTGATGGAGGAGGAAACACCCTGCAGGGCACCGAAGTACTCGAGTAAAAGTATTCAGATACTTGTTGCTGTAGAAGAACGACAGCGCTACAGTTAAAGAGGCATCCGCCCGCCCCCTGGGGACACGCCCCTGCCCCTGGACGCCGAGACCCGTCAGAAACACGTCACAGAGCCACCTGTCCAGGTGAGCGTGCTTACCTCCAGGGTGAAGTTCCTGCTGATGTTCTCGTAGCTCCCCCACGCCTCCCCGCTCGCCTCCTCGTCCATGTTCAGCGCCCTGCAGAGCTCCTCGAACCCGCGGCGCGCTCTCTGCGCGGTTTCGTCCTCGTCGCTCATTTTCACCGCACTGACCGGACAGTGTCGACCCCGCCGGGCACAGGGGGCCTCCCGCGGCGCGCGGACACGCTATTCACGGGGCTGATGTCCTGAATAACGGCGTTATTACCGAGCACCGGGGCTCCCGGCCTGCGAGGCCATTTAAAAGTCCTTTGACTGACAGATACGCACGCATGCGCGGCTGCCAGCCACAGCGTCAAACGTCACGTCTCAGCGTACGTGCTTTAGCGAATAGCACAAATAACGTAGCGGGGCCCCGCCCACTAAGGGTGCGTAGCTGAGTGTGAGTGGGTGAGCCCACCTGTCAATCACACTGGTGCTGCTTCCGGTTGTTTTGTGTTTTTCGCCGGTGTGGCGCTCCGCTCGCCCGGAAGTCCATCTGAAAAACGTTAAATTATAACTTTTGTAAAATCTGTGATCGGTAAAAGGCGGGAAACACAAACCTGTGCAAACGTTTAAATGAGCGCCCATTGTTCGGCTCTCATTAAACTGCTGCACAGGTCCTCACAGTGCAGTGAAAGCGAAGGATGAAACCGGACAAAGACTCAGCTGTCAGAACAACCCAAATAAAGCTGCTCAACCACGACATTAGTGTGTGAAAGGAAAGCAGTCATTATATCTCAGGAGAGTTTGATAGATTAATGCTGCAGTTACCACAAAACTGTGACTGTGGGCAGCAGATTAGACCCTGAGTACATCCTGGCTGTGCTGTAGCACTGTACACACAAACCCTTCAGATTCTTTAATAATCAGCTGAGGCCTGAACCACACCGCCTGACTGTGGGTGTGTGGAAATCAATGCAGATGACAGAGATCATTCACTAAACAGCAGATAGGAACCCAAACGAGTCATAAAAATAAAGATGTTAGTCAGAGTTATTGCACTTTGTTTATGTGTTGAATTAAATCTCAGATTCTATAAATTGATTGTAGTTTTGTTTAGAATCTGGAGATGACTCTACACCTTTAAATATCATCACTAATAAAGGTCTTAATGAACTTAAGACTCGTGCATTTGTCTCACAGTCCTCAACAAAATGTTATTATCATAAAGTTAATTTACCGTTAATTTGAACACGCAGAACTCACGCACACATTTCTTCACCTCATGCTGGATTTTCTGCGATGCAATCAAGTGTTAATTATTGTAAAGTTTTAAATGTTTCGTCTTCTTCTTGCAGCGGCTCCTTTCAATAAAGTGTTAAAGACAGAATAATAGAACAATAAACTCACTTAGAGACTGAAGTCATCACTTTAGGAATGTGTCAGAAACTCAGACTCATTATAATGATCTTACCACCATTTTTTAAAGCTACTGAAAGCTTGCAGTGCTGATATAAACTCCATCCTGAGATTAATCTTTGTCGATTATCGTTGCATTCTCTCTGTCCAGCTCAGCGGCTCACATCGATGTAGAAACATGCATCTCGTCTGGAGCGACGGCCTTGCAGGTCTCTGTCACTCGTTGTTTAACCTCGTCTCCTTCCTGTTCAGCCGGCCGCACAGACGGAGGTTCCTTCTTCTGTTGTAACACGCCATAGTCACATGTTGTCACATGTTAAGAATTCTGAAGTCTCCTTCAGATCCTTTCACATATGTGTGCATCTTGTACAGTCTTTGATAACTCTTCCTTCTTTAAAGTAACAGGAAGTAATTTTCTTGTGTTTTTACGTTGTTTTCTTGGTCTTTTGTCGCCTATTTGAGTGTTGTTTGGTTTTTAAGGTCTGTAGTACACTAACGCTGGCAAGTTTATCGCCTTATTTCCGTGGATCTTCAGAACTGTAATTTTTCCAACTGTCCTTTAAAGTTCATCTCTATACATCAGGCTGCAGTGTGCTGTTGGTTCCTGAATGAACTGATTTGTGTTTTTAAGGTGAGAAAATTATTTAAAGGTGCTACCCAAACATTCCTCTGACTTTCTCGTTCCCATCTTGCCTGAATCAGACTTGAAACCAATGACTGAGACCAGAATCTCATCACTGAGGTCAGAGGTCAAGCTGAGCAGGAGACTCATTATCCAGTCAATCTTCAGAGGACTCGCCCCCTGCTGGACAGCAGCGGGACTGCAGGTCGTCAAGGTCAGTGACCGAACTCCTTTAACACACAGCTGCCCACCGCCAGAAAGACCTCAGCTTTCACAGGATGGACACAAGCCAACCACACACAGCGCCACCTGCAGGGCCTTTTAAGAATTTTCTATCTCTTTGCATTTCTGCTGACCATACTGTTAGATATGTTTCATATGCTGTGGTATAAAATGTGACACAAGGAGGCCGTTTAATGATTTTCTAATAAAGTTTCACTCATCAACTGACTACCTCATTAAAATAATCATCATATTAATCAATTCAAGTAATTTTATTTTTGTTATGCATCATCATGAAGAAAGCTCTGTGTAGTGGCAATTCCTTTTGTTTGACAAACCAAACATCCCACAATTAAAAGTCCACAAGCCACTGCTGCACTGAGATACTATTTCGTACGCAGGCGAAAGAAGTCCACTGTCCAAACTTTAAAGTTGCGTTTTTATGGTTTATTCATCCAGTTTGGCAATAACAAGATCCATTTTTTGTTACTTCCTGCTGCTTCTCCTGCTCTGGTAAAAAACCACAGGCCCACCCCAGTGCATGCTGGTCCTATACCAGTCTCTCTATTTATAGAAACAAAATGGCCCTACAGCTCTTATTGTCATGGTTGCGGCTGTGTGCAGGCTGGATGAGGACCCAATCGCAAACTCACGGAGGCAGGAATTAATTTAAACTTCACAGCTTTATTGCTGGACAAAAACCATACAAACTAAACTGGAAACTATAACATGTTACACGGAAAAACACACGGCCATGGATGAGGGAGAACGCGACACAGAACTGAGGGAGACGCAGACATAAATACACAGAGGGTTAGCGAGGGAAGTGGGAGCACACGGGGAACACAGGTGACACTGATAATCATAACAAGACACGGCAGGAGTGAACGCAACACTGACGGGAGACGGGCAAAGTAAAACAGGAAGTACAGAGGTTCAGACAGGAGGAGAGAGAGCACGGGGAAAACACAGACATAACGGGCTGGGGAAAACATGGAATAAAACACAAAGAGAGACGAGGGCTCACAAATACACAGAGGGGCACACAAGGGGTAAGAGTCACAAGGGGAAAACACTTAGGGAACAACGTAACAGGGCAGCCCAGGAAACATGGCCTAAATAAGGAGCAAAATACAAAAATACATGAAACTAAGAATACTGGGCCAACATGGCACAGGATCATGACACTTATTGACTGATTTAACAAGGTAAAATCAAACAAATAAAACATTGAAACAAATATTAACCTACAAATAAACTTGTAAATAAACCCCAAAATATAAGTAAACTAACAACAAACTTTAACTAATTTCAAAATAATAAAAAATAAAGAACAGATAGCTCCAACACTCTGTAAAGTCTCTCCTTCATCCTGAGCTCAGCTTCAGCTTAAACGCTCCTCCCACTGAGGTGTTGACAGCGCTCTTCCTTGCTCACCTGCAGGAGGCGCCGCTTCCAGCAGAGATGCAGACAGCTGCAGCTTCAGAGGCGGGAGGCGGTCTGCGAGCTCCCACCATGCCCCAGGTAGAGCGACTGCTGAGGGGAGGCTTGGCCTGCAGGGGATGCTCACCTGGAGGGAGACACCGTACAAACGCCCTGAGACGGCCCGAGGGAGAAAACCTGTTTGCAGCTCCACAGTTTCATTTTAGAAGAATTAAATAAATAATAAATAATAAAATAAAAACTTTTCTTCAAGTGCTGAGAATGAAATGTTTGAATAATATTGGAAAATGTGGATGTCTCAAAATGACTTTCTTAAACTCCATAAGAAACATCATCAGCAATAATGCTAATGATTAAGCTAGCACTTTGGTGACAGTGGGAAAGAAAAACCCCCTTTTAACAGGAAGAAGGGAGATGATGACGATGATGATGATGATGATGATGATGATGACGATGATGATGATGGTGATGATGATGCTGCTGCTGATGAGAGTGATGATGATGTTGATGAGAGTGATGATGATGATGATGGTGGTGATGATGATGATGATGCTGATGAGAGTGATTATGATAGTGATGATGATAGTGATGATGATGATGATGATGAGTGATGATGATGCTGCTGCTGATGAGAGTGATGATGATGTTGATGAGAGTGATGATGATGATGATGGTGGTGATGATGATGATGATGTGATGAGTGATTATGATGATGATGATGTGATGATGATGATGATGATGATGATGATGATAGTGATGATGATGCTGCTGCTGATGAGAGTGATGATGATGTTGTGAGAGTGATGATGATGATGATGTGTGTGATGATGATGATGATGCTGATGAGAGTGATGATGATGATGAGATGATAGTGATGATGATGATGATGATGATGATGATGATGATGGTGATGATGATGATGATGAGATGATGATGATGATGTATGGTGATGATGAGACTGATGATGATGATGATGATGAGATGATGATGATGATGATGAGATGATGATGATGATGGTGATATGATGATGATGATGGTGATGAGAGTGATGATGATGATAGTGATGATGATTGGCTGATGAGAGTGATGATGATTTGTGAGAGTGATGATGATGATGATGATGTTGATGATGATGATGGATGAGGTGATGATGTGATGATGATAGTGATGATGATGATGAGCGATGATGATGATGATAGTGATGATGATGCTGCTGCTGATGAGAGTGATGATGATGTTGATGAGAGTGATGATGATGTGATGGTGTGATGATGATGATGATGATGTGATGAGTGATGATGATGATGATGATGATGCTGATGTGATGATGATGATGTGATGATGATGATGATGAGGTGATGATGATGTGATGATGATGATGATGATGATGATGATGATGATGATGATGATGATGATGATGATGATGTGATGATGATGATGGTGATGAGAGTGATGATGATGATATGATGATGATGATGATGTTGATGAGAGTGATGATGATGATGTGATGATGATGAGTGATGAGAGTGATGATGATGATGTGATGATATGATGATGATTGATGATGAGAGTGATGATGATGATGGATAGTGATGATGAATGATGATGATGATGATGATGATGAGAGTGATGATGATGATAGTGATGATGATGATGCTGATGAGAGTGATGATCAGAAATCAGAAAGGGTTTATTGCCAGATGTTGAGCAGGTTTACAACATTAGGAAATTGCTGCGGTGCTTCAGTGCAACATACTGTCATAAAAATATAAAAATAAGAATAAGAATTAAAAGTGCTAAGTGGATAGATATATACATGATATATACATGATACAGATGCAGGTGGTGATCAGTGCCAAACATGGAATGATGCAGTGAACACAGCGTAGGGTCATGTGTTAGTGGCGGGGACAGTCATAGTGGTTATTGTTCATGTGTCCAACAGCAGAGGGGAAGAAACTGTTCTTATGGCGAGAGGTTCTGGTGCGAATGGACCGGAGCCTCCTGCCTGAGGGGAGCAGGTCAAACAGACTGTGTCCAGGGTGAGAAGGGTCAGCTGAGATCCGAGCTGCACGCCGCAGTGTCCTGGAGGTGTACAGGTCCTGCAGAGATGGGAGTCTGCAGCCAATCACCTTCTCAGCAGAGCGCACAACACGCTGCAGTCTCTGTTTGTCCCTGATAGTGGCTCCAGCGTACCACACAGTGATGGAGGAGGTGAGGATGGACTCGATGATTGCAGTGTAGAACTGCATCATCGTCCGTGTTGGCAGGTTGAATTTCTTCAGCTGCCTCAGGAAGTACATCCTCTGCTGGGCTTTCTTAATGACGGAAGTGATGGTGGGCTCCCACTTCAGGTCCTGGGTGATGGTGGTACCCAGGAAGCGGAACGAGTCCACAGAGGTGATGGGGGTGTCAGTCAGGATGATGGGGGGGAGTGGAGGCTGTGTGCTTCCTGAAGTCCACAATAATCTCCACTGTCTTCTGGGCATTCAGCACCAGGTTGTTGTGGCTGCACCAGGACACCAGACGTTCAACCTCCCTCCTGTAGGCAGACTCATCCCCGTCCGAGATGAGTCCGAATAACGGTGGTGTCATCTGCAAACTTGATTAGCTTGACAGACTGGTGGGTGGAGGTGCAGCAGTTGGTGTACAGGGAGAAGAGCAGAGGAGAAAGAACACAGCCCTGAGGGGAGCCGGTGCTGATGGTCCGGGAGTCCGAGACATTCTTTCCCAGCCTCACGTGCTGCTTCCTGTATGATGATGATGATGATGAGAGTGATGATGATGAGAGTGATGATGATGATAGTGATGATGATGAGTGATGATGATGATGCTGATGATGATGATGATGATGATGAGAGTGATGATGATGATCTGATGATGATGATGATGATGATGATGATG